CCTGCAGTTCTGGAAGCTTGCTGACACTGGTCTTTGCAACCACAACCGACGTTGTCCGAAGCGATGACATGATACTATGGTCGTCGTCGAGAGTCTCAGATCGATCTGAGACCTTCCCAATACCGCTAGAACGATTGCTAACAAGGTAACAATTGAAAGAGGGAATAAAAATATGGGACCTGGAAATTGCATCTGGCTAAAGAAGCAATGAACAATTGAACAGGGGTCCTGTCCTGCCACCCCGGCTTGTGCTTCCGGTCTGAGCTTTTCATGGACGTGGCTTGTGGGGTAGACAGACGAGGCAGTTGCCGAGGACGAGCCATTTCGAATCCCGATATTACCACCACAGTACAGCGTCATGAGAAAGATGAAGACAATCTTAAGGAAGCACAAATCCAAGTTGGAAGCTGTCAGTCGTACAATGTGTTGGAGAAATACGAACGGAGATCCCCCAAACCAAAAGGTGCGGTCCGTGCTAATGTGTCTTACCTTAAGTTTAATGCCCTGCCAGGCACAGGTGGAGCCAGTGGGTTGAGAGTGGGATCCCGCCTGGGTCAAAAAAGTGACGTGCTTGTCTGATCTCTAGGTCTCGATATGTAACCTCTACACAGTAGATCCGAGATGCACCTCGAGCACCAAACTTGAGCTCGAGAATGGAGTCAACATATCACTACAGTCTGCGAAGACGTGCATTTATTCCTCATGCTCTAACGTGTCCCGACTTACTGTGGTAGTTGTACAGAGATGATAGGCAGGACGCTTATCTCCGCTGCTGTCTGGAATTCACAGCTGCTCAGCCCTTCCGCACTAGTCGTGAGAATCATGCGGCGCGTTCGCAGCTTCTACACCTACAACAGTGCCTGCGATCAGATGCCACGGCGCTCGCATTGATCGTGGCTTTTGTCCGTCCCCGGATTTGGGGACGCAGCAGCAGCATGCATGAACATGCCCTCGTGTCGTCTCATTGCGAGGCGTCGTCGCATCTTACACAGTAGACTTCTTCCTCTTTTCTGTGCATCAAAAGTTGCACGAGATCAGACGCAAAAGCCCCTACCCGGCTTGACATTCTCGGCATTGCGTGCAGGTGCTTAGGTACAGAAGCAGGTGGCCAATCCATTGTATCGTTCAGGACCCATGACAAACGGCTACCCGCCGCGCAATTTTGGTACGCGCCTCGTGATGCTGCTACAGTGAGCTTCAACCGTGCATGCTGCTGTCCCGATCTTCCGATTACCGTTTGGCGCAGCTAGGGAGGAGCTGATGTCGGATGATTGTTGGTTTGACATTGACGGCTCGGCTGTATACCTTGACAGCTCCTGTCTGGGCCTGCTCGGCAGTTTCAGTCCACAGACGCGGCTAAAATATCCGAATGAGTGTGAGACTCCGATGTGTATTCGTATGTATGTAGATCATGGTGAGAAGAATAAGGTAGTAAGGTGCTTTTCGTAATCAAGTCTATAGGAAACCCGCCTTAGGGAACGTCATGTCGTTCAAAGTTGTCGTCGTCCCAGCCGTTATTTTCCCTATTGACCCTTGCCCTAACCCCCGTCCCGGTATCGAAAAATGCTTCAGAAACGCAAAGAAGAACAAGACGCGCCGGCTAAACCACATCAAGACAATAAACCTCATCTCTTCGAAAGCCTTGAGGGAACGCGGTCCGACGAGCTCATCCGCGATGCCGATCCACCTTTGCCGCTCCTGCGATCTCGGGGACCCTTATCGACGACCTCCCCTTTGTCTCGGCGTAGAACAGCAGTGATAGCCTTGAACGGAAGAGCCACCACTTTCAGCACTGCGCGAACAGGCATCATAGCCAGTGCCGTGGTCCGTTCCGCCAGCCAGCCAAGAAAGCTGCCCTGAGAGGCGCTATTCTTTGCCGCCGCAGCTGCTAGCGAAATAGCATCGTTCAACCGTGTGTCGATGGCCCCAAGCCGCGACTCGGTCTGGAAGGCCAGTACCGTGGCCTTCTTTTCATACCGGCGCACCGCCCGGTTGAGCGCATCTAGCTCAGGTTGGATCGCGTTCCGTACCTCCCTAACGAGAGCGCTGTTCTGCGGAGCAGGTTGCTTCCCGGTGTCTGGTGTGCCATTGCCAGCCGCGGTCGGAAAGCCGGCAGCCGCGTACGACTCGAGCTCTGCAAGCCGTCGTGCCATGTCTTGGACCTGACTAAGAGTCGGCGACGTCCCCTTGTAGGGATTGGCGTTGACGACGCGCTGCAGATGCAGGGTGCGCGTGCGCAACAGTTTGAGCAGGTGGCTGAGCGGGTGTATCTCGGCTGCGAGGATGAAGATAGTCAGGTTGTAGTCCGAGACGAGGCCCTCGGAGGGCCGGCTCAGCTGGCCGCGGATGGCGTGCAGGAGGTAGGCGGCCAGGGCGGGGAGCAGGAGGCAGGACGTGAGCGCCATGATTTCGTGGGCGTACAACTCGTTTAGAGCTGCCTGCCGGGACCGCCGAGAGACATCTGCCGGCGTGTGTGGTGGCGGCGGAGAATTTGGCTTCTCGTCCTCCTCCGGAACATCGTCCAATATCTTGGAGTCGGTGGCCTGCTGGGGGTGCCCCTGCGCAGCTGCCTCTGCATCGCTCTCGTCCTCGATCACCATTTCGGTCATGGTCTCTTCTCTTACGCGCACCTCCTGAGCAGAATGGTACCAGATCCTGTGTCAAGTGATTAGCATTGACGTGTCTCACGTTAGTTGGGGAACCGGAGCTGACAAACCATGGCTGTGTGACCGACCAGTGGAGGAAGACTGCTGCGAGGCCGAGGAGTAATATATCCGTGACCACGGAGCTACCGTTCTTGAAGAAAAGCCCACCAACAGCGGGGAGAAGGGCGAATGCAAGAGGTAACAAAGTCCAGTTGGAGCTAGCAGGCTGCTCCAGGCCTGCACCGCCCGGGTTGAGGATGTCATCGCGGATGTTCCTCCGCGCCTCATTTAAGCTGTAGTCAGAAAAGGTCGAGCTGCGCCGCCTCAGAGGGCTGTCAAAGCTCCTATCAAACGACGGCTGGCTGGAGGTCGGACGGTGCCGAAGTTGTGGCGAATCGTCGACGGTCATGGAGCGGCGGACGGGGTGGAAGCCCGAGGGTGCTGACGCCAGGGATGCAGATGTTGACCTGCCAGGCGGATTGTTTACAGCGCTGTTGCTGCTAGGTTTCCTCGTAGGAGAGTTGCCGCTATCCTCGGCCATGGCAAGGGTGCAGCGCTCATGATCTCCAGCGCTGCAGACGGTTTATACGTGACGTTGACAGAAAATGCAGATTCGAGTTATCGGCCAAGCCTGAGATGTTGAGGATGTCGAGTCGCAAGAGCTTCCACAATGGTTGAGGTCATCGTCCGGCAGCTGTCCCGTGTCGCCAAGCCCAGATTGGCAGGGATGTTGAGCGAATGAATGACGGCACTGGAATGCGCTGAAGCTTAACGCGATGGCTGACTAACCTATCTGGGCGCTCGTCTCTCCATAGCTTCCCCAGACTTTGATGCAAGCCGATCTGTATGAAATACGCCGTAAATTCTACTGATGATATGGTTGTGATTTTTTAGATCCTGAAGTGGTAGCTGAGGGATTGGTTTGATTGATACATGTCACAGCTGATACCACTCGAAGGATTGAAACAACACATACGCGCAATCAAACCACTTTCAGAAAGGTATGCAAGTTGACGATACCCTCGAGGTTCCAGAGAGACGTCTCTCTACGCCTCCATTTGGTGAGGTCTAGGAACCTGAGGAATGCAGAGTGAGGCGGGAACCTGGCCAGAGACAAGCAAGGCGGGCTTGCCCTTGAAAGCAGCGAAAGCCGTGACACGGGCTTGCGAGTCGGCGGTAAGAAAGGCTGCCACTCGCTACAACAACTTCTCGATACCTCCTGGAAGTCCTTACATGTATGGGGATAACGCCGTAGGTGATTTAGATAGCATGCTGACGAGCTTCATGATCCGGCTTGTCGTCAGCCAAGCCAGCCATCTCCACACCAAGCAATGCCCAAAACCAGATACGAATGGTGATGTCGTGTTTGAAGAAGAACTTATGCGGCGGCGCAACGCGAGATCATGACATCCGGGGAGCTGTCAAATATAGGCTGTCTGGCGGACCGGGACGCGCTTTGCATTGGCAGGCAGCGTAAGTCCGGCAGGGAAGTGTATTCCAACGCTCCACGCCTTCGTAAAGGTGCCATGTTAGCCCGCAAAGAAGAATATACACGCCCGTCGCAGGATGTCCTTCAACAACTCCGAAAACACTAGTATCAGCTACTTCCCCATGGGAAGCCTTCTCGCCGAAGTGAAACGCCCAACAGGTGACTGAACCCGGGCGCCATTGCAGGTGCACCTCGAAATCGTAGAAGATGGGTCTTCGCCGAGAGAGCATTCGTTTGCTAGCGATACGGCCATAGTTGCCTGATCCACCCATGGCAGATGGCTGGCTCAATGATGCTGCCAAACCCGAGATCTAAGGGCAATGCTGCTCCCGATATGTAAACGCATAACGTGGTCAGAGGTCGAGTCTGACTAGAAGACAGGAGCGCAAGGCGTTACGCGATTCTGGAGCCTCCAGTCATATCGAGTGACAACACACCCAGTCGGCCCGCTGCGTCAAATGCGAACAGTCGCCGCAGCCCAACTCCCGCAACTGAAAAGAGGATGAGACTTCTCAAGAAATCGACGTTGTACTTTGACAGTTGGATGTGTCATCTATGGGCTAGCACTGGCTGACCTTCAAGGCCAGAAAATGGGTAGGGACCATGCTGAAGAACCTTCTCATTGCGCATGAAGACAGAAGATGAAGATTGCAAAATGCAAAAGGGCTTATTAGTAGACATCAAAGAAACTGAGCGGAGGAACAGTGTTCGAGACTTCGAGGTCTTTGTGTGTGAGGATAAGATAAGTTGGCCCACAATGTCACGACAATGCAATGTGCAGACCCATATCTCTCGAGCGACTGTGACTCATACCTCGAGCCCGCTCGTCACTTCAGGTAAAATAACGCAACGTTCTCACATCCAACAGCTGCGTGGCGCAGTGGAAGCGCGGTAAGTTCCTAAAACTCACTAAAATACACCAAATCATTGTACTGACAACAAACAATAGCCGGGCTCATAACCCGGAGGTCCTCCGATCGAAACGGAGCGCAGCTACTCCTTCTTTTTTGCTTTTCTTGACTTTTTCTTTTATCATTCACATTTGACTCGTTATGTCTACCTTTTTGTCTATACATGTGTCGACAAGTTATCTGACTGTTGCTATGCTAACGAATAACAAAGGCGTGTAGATCCGAGCAGTGCCTTAAGTAGACAATGTTGCCTTGACTATGTTCGAGACCAGTCACTCGTTGGTCGACTTGTCTAACACTGGTGATGTATATCGATGCTCGGTTTTAGTCTAGAGAAGCGGACAACGGGCAGGTGATCATTCATGGCGTTTCTCGAGTGCCAATACTTTTGTTCTTGTGTGCCTGCACTGTATCGTAGATGCCGGGCTGTATTCTGTTCGGAGGAGAGATCGCTCGAAAAGAAATCGTTATCATGGGTTCGAACAGTACCAAGAACAGCGATACCTAAATCTGCTGAGACAGAACCAGCAAGGCAGGAGTGACAGTGCCACTGAAGGTTATCCACAAACGTCTTCGAGAGCGCTTCTCATCACTCCAGTGACTTTGACATGCTGGACTCACTGTCACAAGCCCTGCCTCAGGGTCATTATGGTCGCCGTACTGTTGGGGATCATTGCCTTAACGCGGTCTCTTCTGTATGGCCCTCCCACTAGGAAGACTCTGAGCTGCTTACAAGCCACAAGTACTCGTCACTCTGGAGGCGGCTTGCTTCAGCCCAAGGGCTAGCGAAAGCCTGGTGAGAACGAGTCCAAGAACAGTTCAATCCATTGGAGGCAACAGCTGAGGGGAGATATGACGGAGAGACCAGTCTCTCGACGTCCACCACCATGTACCTAAGGCGTACCTACAGGAAACCGCTTTCACGACTGACCAGGGTATCATCAAGCTCAGCGGAACTCTCAACCGCCATGTCACAGGTCTGTCCCGCGTCGCGGAGGGATGAAACAAACGTTCACAGAGGTTTTCCAGAGCGTATTGCTGCGGTGGCACCAAGGGCGCCCATACGAACAACTGTCTTGGGCATTTGATACCTCGAGCCGTGTCGAGGGAAGTGCAGGCCGCCTCCAAGAAGCACTCTTCTTGGTAGATGCTTATGCCACGGAGTATCACGGCATCGTCTCCATCGCCAGCACAAAAAAGCAGGATACGTTACCTTCGAACCGTACTTGATATCGTAACCACGACTCCTTGGTGACTCCCTGTGTTTCGAAAAGTAGCGACAGATCCGATCCCCAAGACAACGGCACAAAAGCCAAGTCCACAAGGATTGCGGAGAAAACCATATTATACCAGCTTGTCCGATCGCCACGGAACTGGTGGACATCGCCACCGCTAACTCCAGTTCTTAGCTTATCCAGGGAAGGCAAGAACTCTGACGGGAAAGCAACTCGTCCAATCCCGGATGTCGAATACCCCCAAGTCTCATGCACTGTGCAACGAGTCCGAGTGACTTGCCTCGTGCCGGGCTATAACAGCTTAACGGACCCATCCTATGTCTTCGTATTCATCTATATCCGGGCCGTTGGGGGCAAGATAGACGGCGCTCGCCTCCGCATGATGACCGGAATGGGGGCGACTGTCTAGGCCTCATCACCTCTCCCTCAGCCCCAGGAACACACGCATAACTCTCTAAGTGACGCCAAAGGATCAGCTTCGGATAGATGATGGTTTGAGAAAACAGGTCTCGTTCAATATGGCGCCCAACACGAGGGGAAGAGAGGTGGAGATCGGCACCCGGGAAATGAACTTCTCGATCGTAAACAATATCCGGGGCAATGCCTCGCTGGGGAACTCGGTTGCCCAAACACGCGCCAGGAAGGCTATGACGGCACGATAGACAGAGTGTGGCGTCGAAGTGGAAATTGTCATCAGCTTCCCGTAAAATCCAATAGCATGAGACGTGAATGATACTGGCAAGCCGAGCTTCCCTCGTCGTTCCCGGCATATCTGGCCCGGTAGAATTCCAACTGACGTGAAGGACGACAACCAGGAGTCCGGCAATATTCAGCCAGCGTCTGATGATCGGTATCGAAGCTTTTCCTGTTGGGGCCCTGCCACTTCTTCAGTTTAGTACCACGCAATTAGGGCGTCGTCCTCGTCGTCGAAGCACATCCATTCTGGAAGGAAATGCATGTACCAGCAGGTAGAGTAGCTTCTGAGATGACACCGGGCAGTATACCGGGCTCAAAATATGGCGCAGGGAGACCAAGTGTAGATCAGCCTAGTTACTCGCAGTAACGCCGTACAAGGAGGAGCCTTAATCCCAGGACGGCAGTCAAGCTGCAGGACTGCTGACAGTCGATTGCCGGACATGGGATGTGCCCAACGATGTCCACCGGGAAAGTCGACGGAGCTTAGGGCCATCGGTATCCGGAAGTCGTGGCAATCTAACTACCATCTAGTGCTTGGGGTCGGGCCAGCGGTTCCTCGTCAATAAGCAGAATGGCAGGTAACGTTGCAAACCCATTCATAAAGACGGAAGAAGCCTTAGTTGGGTAGGTCCAGGATGTTGGAAAGGCAATCAAATCTTTCCTGGTTGATGTAAAGTGCCGCGTGAGTAATTGCCGTAGAGTGTCTGCCTGCGAGAGAGGCAGGTTATCTTTCTTTCCAGGAACCTGGAGGTATCCCAGATGAAGACACCACACCAGAGTAGCCAATGGACGCCCTGATCCGGTATCCTGCAGAGACTCTGATATGAAGCCGAAATGGCATTTTTGTGTCAGCCAAGCCTGACGGCAGCGGGGAGTTGTATATCGAGCCGCGGGAGCAGTATATTTACCCGGGTTCTGAGCTTCGCCTATCGTATGCTTCAGATCTGTTCGAGCGGGCGAGGCTGGACGGGAAGTACCTGCAGACACAGATGGTTGTCATGAAACCAGTTAGTGTCGAGTTTTCGCGATTGTTCGGAGGTGAGCTCATGGGAGCTTTCGGTACCAATCCCAAAGTCTCAAGACAGCGCCCTAGCCAGAAGGAGTTCATCTCAACTTGTGAAGATCGACCATACATCTTCATGCATCATTCTTCATTGATCTTCGTAAATGGGACAAAGACCAATGACGGCAGCAAGGCGTCAGCCTAAGCTTCCGTAGGTCAAGCTTGAGAGGATGCGGGACATATTTGCAATTATTTGAGCGTCTCTGAATGGCTGTGCGGGACCACCGGCCGGTGTATGTACCTGGTGTTCCGCCCACGACCGCCGAGAAGTGGTAATGTCGACCAGATATTGAGATGTCGCTTTGGGTTGATTGCTTCCCGTCAGTTTGGAGACTGATTAGCCGCTGTTTCACGTTCCGAATGCACGTGGTTCAGAACCGGCGGAGTTGGTCTCGGCTTTTGAAGCAAGCCGGAAGATGTTTGATCAAGTCTGGAAAATCTCGACAACAGGTCGCTGCCTCCCATCCTGCTGGTCATATTTGCTGGCAGTCCTGGCAAATCTGTTCTAGAAGGCAGTCTAGGATCTTCTTCTCGCATTGAACACCAGAAAGTCTTGCTTGAAGACAACGTGGCCGGCCCGACCGATGCGTCGATCATTTGGGCACGGCTTCGGCGCCCGGACAGCGATCCACGCATGATCATTTCTCTCTCGAATGTAGCGTTTTTGACTGCTGGCCCGGTCCAGACCCGTCCAGATATTGCCAGTCCAAGATCTTAGCCTTGAGACTTGAGTCCACTTGGACACTGTAGCCTTGGTTGTTACCTAGGCCAGGACATTCCCCATCCGCTGTACCTCGTAAAATCATTTGAGTTGAGGCAGGGACAAGCTTGTTCTCATCGAGTACCAGAGACATTTTGCGGCCATGCGGCCATGCATGCTCATAACAGCGCACTGAAGTAATAGGCCGGTGCCCACCCTGACGACGAGCTGGTAGGGTTCTGTATACGCATGTTCAGAGTTCGCGGATCTCTAGACCCTGCCGGTTGTAGGCTTTCGTGACCGGATCCAGTCATGTCAAACGGCGGTACTCCATTGCGTCAGGGTTGCAGTGCAGCTGTTCCATCGAATCTTCCCCCATGCCGCCTTGATGATTGCCTTGACACCTGACAAGGCAATTAATGAATCAATGCGACTGCGGAAAATAATCTGACACTTGTCATGACCTTGAAGCCGGGGGGTAGGGGTAGATCACCAGCAGAAGAGTGGCTTCCGAAGGGTCTCGCTGCTGACCTTTAACCGGAGTCAGATCTAGAATCCTTGCAGCCCCACGACATGTTCGTCGAGATCCTTGGACCAGAGACCGATTCTCCTTGATATGCTATCTCGAAGCCTGGCCACTTGCTGGCACGAGTGCATTGATCATAGTAATAGGCTTTCCCTTCCGTCTTGTCGTTACTGAGTTGGAGATATGGAATCTCTTGCTGATAAACGGCGACCAGTATGTCCAAAGGAGAGGCGTATATGTTCTGAAGGGTGTAAGGAGACGGGCGAGCACACTGTGTTCAATATCTGTACGGCCACGGCTTCAGGTTCGTGGCACAGAGCCAGTCGATGAAGACTAAGGGTGGCCAATGCCAGAACAGGTGCAGTAGCGCAAAGTCAATGCCCCCAAGCGGGAAGCCAGTAACAGAAAGCCGCTGAGGGTCTCGGTTTGCGCAGTAGCAGGCGACGAGTTGGTAGCAAGCTGCTGGGAAGGAATCTTATCGGGCTGCGCCGCAACTGTTCGCGACCGAGGGAGAGAAGGTGAATGTGCTCCTTGGAGCAGCCGAGACTCGTGACTCGAGTGTCGAGGACAACACAGCTGGCCAGACCTACAATGACGGGACGGACTTATCCGCGGTCCATAGTTGACAGGTATGGACCTGGATTGACTGGTCGTTCTGGCTAAGGGAGTGCGGTGGAAACCCAGGGCGTACCAGGGTGTGGATAGGCAGGCAGAATCTCGAACTCACAATGTTCTGTTTATGAGATGCTTATGGCGGCTTTTGCAGTCAGCGGTCCCTATAACTAGCGACCGTGCCGTGTCTGGGCGCAAGTTGCCTTGGGTTGGAGTGTGCTGAGTGGCTGGGAAGTTGAATTATAGCATCCGC